CAGAAATTATCTGGAAAATCTGTGAACCATTCCCCTGGCACAGTTTGGCAACTGGATCTTCTACAAGAACATCTTTTTTAATTGCATATCATGGCATATATTCATGTTTCCCTAAGTAATGTATTTGAGAAGATTTTTTTTCCTGGTTTTACCCAAATACTTTCCTAATGTTGAAGTAAAAGGATGTGACATCATGTTTTTTCAGATTTATGTACTAAAATCTCTGCTACTCACAATTCAGAAGGGGAGTATGTATTGTCCATATAAACAACCAACATTGTCATTGCTCACAGCAGCACTGCTATGTTAAATAAACTATGTGGTAGACAAAGTTTTAAAATCCCTTTTGAAGACTTTCCCCAAGCTTTGTTAAACAGGTCACTTTTTCACCAGTTCAAACAGTAGGTATGGATGTGAAAAGTTTTTAAAATCTGCATCTAAGTTCACACCTGCAGTTAATATATGCATCTGTGTGTCTAACCTCATATGTAAAGTTGTTTCAGCTGTGGTGCCTCTGGATGATTAAAATTGTATCATTATATCTCTCTCTTTAATCACAAATTAGTGAAACGCATTATCTTCATTCTCAGTAACTTCCAACTTTGATGTTATATTTAATAAAACATAATGCTCTGTTGGAGAGGTTGGGACAATTCTGCTACCTGCCCTTCTGCCATTTCTGCAGCTTTCAGCCCTGATCCACAGTAGTTTGTCCTATGTTTATTGTAATTGCCTCCAGCAGATTAGTGGGGGCACGTGGAGCTTAATAAACTCTGGCTAAAGATGGCTAGATGATTTTCTGAGAGAGGAGGTCCTTCTTAGGCTGTGAAGTAGTAAAAATAGCTTTGAGAACCTGGGGCTACGTCATTATGCTCTTTATTACATTGTATAAAGACTATATATTACAGAAATAACATTGTAGAGGTGGACAGTGACAGGCCAAACAGCTTTTGCCATACTGCAAGCATAGGAAAATTCTTTATCACTTTGGCTTTTATTACCTAGCACAATTGTCTTTAAAACAGTCAATCAACGTATTATGCAAGAAGAAAAATTTGAAAGTACAGTAGACTGACTAGCAAAATAAAAATCTATATTAAAAAGACATAAGCACAAAAGACCTTTTAACTCACTTTAGTTCTGCCTCTTGAGTTGTCAGACTTTAATATTGTTTTGAAGACAGTTATATATATATAAAACATTGCTGTGAGATATACTTCTAAGCATATAATTTCTTGAATGATACTCAATGAAAAGTGATACATAAAATTACCTGATTATTTTATAAATAATTCAAACATTTATTGTCATGATAGCATTCCTACCTAAAGGATGCTAAAGTCCTGCTGCACAGGACACAAGGCAGAGCTTTATAATGCAACTGGGTTTTTTGATCGTTTAGCATCAAGACCCAACCTGGAGATCATTTATATACTGAAGTAGTTTACACAGGTGAATAGCAGAGCTGCCTTTTCAGAGAGCTACTCATGTGCAAAGCTAACTCTTTCACAATGCACTCAGCAGAAATACTCACAGTGTGTAAGGCAGTGTTTTAGCATTTTCAGGGTTGGGAAAAGGCAAAGGAGGAAAAGGGAAAGGAGGAAAAGGGAAAGGAGGAAAAGGGAAAGGAGGAAAAGGTTTACATATTTTCAGGACCTAAAGAAGGGGACATGGGACAAGAGTAGAGGTTGTTTCTTTATGTTTACACAGTAGAAAAATATCTCTTTGAATTTATACAGGTAAAAATATTTTGTTCATAGGTGATCCTTTTGCTCCTGATCACTGGAAGAGAAGGAGATTACTCAGCCAACAGGAAGAAACATTTCACAATATGCTTAAAGGAAAAAGATTGTTGACATAATTACTGGCAATTAAAAAAAAACTTAAAAGCTCTGAGTGAAGAATATATGTGATGAAGGATCTTTTTGCATAGATGTAATAAATGAGCCTGATAGCAACACAGCAAGGCATTGGTAGCATAGATCCAGGAGGCACAACGTGAAAGCAAAGCTGGTCCAGGGAGTCTGATAAAACAGAGGCAACATGAAGAGCCCTACCAAACCGTCACTATGGATCACCAGCTATCTTTGGTGATAGAATTTTATGAATGCATTTAATTACCTTCTGCTTTGCTTTCCAACTGGTACCTAAACAGCTGACTCCAAAGTGCACTGTAAATTGCATCATCAGCTGTCTGGTTTGAGGTAAAAATCAGGCAGGTGAGGCAATCTGGGATCCTCACATGGGCATATGCAAGACCTAAGCCCAAGGCACCAAAAACCTGAGTCAACAGCAAGGATTCCCCAAACCGGATAATACCGACGAATGTGCCAGTCAGCAGCAAGGACTTCTGGCTTTCCTGGCAGCATGTAGGCCCCCTCTCAACTGCTACACTAGGGTACAAAATCTGGTCATGTCCTCTTTTCCTCCCTCCTAGTGCATTGCCCCCAAACCCTCCAGCTTCCCACTATTCCCCCAGCCCAGCACCTGCCCCCCTGCCTGCTGCAGGAGATGCCCTAGCAAGGATGAGACAGTTTTGCAGTGGTTCCTATGCTGTTGAGAATATGCATATCACAGTTCAAAAATCCTTGGTATTAAACATGAAAGACCTGAGCCTAGCAAGGAGCAGCAAGAGTGACATTTAAGGCAGAAAACTTCAGGCATTTTAGAATAAATCACTATCCAGTACAGCAAAACAACCCCATAAACCATAAAATGACAGAATCTGTCCCACTGGAAAAAAGCCATGAGAGAGAAGCTCTTGCAAATGCATCTCTGACCTGAGAGATAAAACTAGAAAACTCAAAGCTGACTGTTGTGAAACCAATTTTGCATGGTCCAGTAATTTAGAAAGTTTAGATAAGTGTTTGAGTTGGTGTCCTGACTTTTCTAAGGCCAACAACCATATTGATACTACCTTTAATGGGGTCAGGATGTCACCCCTGAACTTTGTGTTACTGATCTCCAAAGCAGTCAACGTCAAGTTGAGTCAGTGCTCACATGAGCACAAGAATGAATTTGGTACCGCACTCAATTTGCTAAGGAACTTTCCCATTATTAGGCAAACAATATCACTTTGCTCAAGGCAGAGACCTGCTTGTTTGATGAAAGTCTCTATGAAAATACTGCCATTTAAACAGTTTATGTGAAAAATATCTCCAGGAAAAAAATTACTAGTGGTAATCCCAATGACAAATTGTAATCCATGGAACTCAGGAATAGAGCTGGCTTGAAGGAAGCAAAAGTGGTTTTCCTCTTAGGAAAACTTTGACTTTTTCAGGGAAAAAATGAAAAAAAAAAAAAAAAAAAGTCCTGGTCCCAAAATATAATAGTTTGTTTCTAAGAAGTGGCAACAGTGCTTTGAGTTCAGGAGTCAAGGTAGCTCGAGGGCCTGTCTCTTTCCATAAATTATGTTTCCATTACATCCTCCTTCTTTATAAAGAAACATAGGACCCTAACCCAATTTGCAAAAACTTAGCTCCAGTTGAACCTTCCTCCACCTTGACTGTTGGACAATATTTGACCAATCCTTGTAAAAAAAGTTTTCTTACAAACATTTCTATCCTGATAAATTAAAACTTAAGCAAATAGAATAATTTGTATATTTTGTATGTATATATATAAAAGTATATACATACAGAGACATATATAGATTTTCAGTAATTAAGTCAGTCTAAAGAAAAAGCTCTCTCAATTTGAAACAATTCTACCGCGTAAAAATGTATTAATGCACAAGGTGTAAATAAATACCAGTTAAATATGTTTCTTTCTGTTGGGGAAGAAAGGGTTGTTTTGGTTTTTTTCCCCCTTTAGTAATAGTTAGGTGTTAAAGTTTTTCTGCTGCAATAAAATATGGGGTTTTCTAAAGATTTTTAGAAATCAAATGAAAAACTCAACTGGCCTGTACACATACTGTATCTAAATGTCCTTTACTCTTGAATCGCTCTTTTTATCCAGACAAATCAAATGCTGCTGGTACTCTGTTTTTCAGTCATATATTCTTCTTTCCTTAAAATCACAAGTCATCCTGCCCTTTCCAGAACATGAGGACAAACATGCACACTACTTACATTCCTCTGTAAGACCTAGATACTGAGAAATCCCTGAATTAAACCTGGCATATTATTTCAGGCATAAAAATAAATGTAGGTGAAGCTACAAGGTAAAAATCACCCCTTGGGAAAAAACTGCCCACACTGTAAACAAGAATAAGTGTTGTAATATCTCTGAGTATCATGGCGCTGGGAATTCCCTCCGCAAGCCTCTGATTTTCACCATATATTGATTTTTATCATAAGCTGTTCTAAAATTAGAAAAGGCCACGATCTGACAAGTATCCTTTCTGTTTAGTCCTAGCAGATGGAAACCATGAGGTGCTTTCTCAGCTTGAAACTGTTCCAAAACCTGAGGCACTAATCTGGCATATTAAAACAAATTTATATAAAAAGTCTCGTGTCTTTACATCATGCAACATAATTTATGGCATGCTGGGCAGTGACAGCTTAAGTTATGAAAATGCTGTATCACACAGCAGATCAGAGCTGGCTTTATAGCAGGTCTCATGAATTCCTTCGTCCAGAAAGAATAAATTTTGTGTGGGAGCATTCTGCTTAACACCCCTGCAGAGCAATAGATTAAAACTAGATTTCAGCATTTACTTCTTGCTCAACAATAAATCAGGAATTAGAATTAATAATGGCAGTTATCCATCAACAGCAATGAAATTGCAGATGAGCAGGAGTAGTTTTATGGACAAAAGGAGCTCCTTTTTAAATTATTATTAAAGAAAACCTATTCTCTTCTATTTCAAATGTTTTTAGGCTCTGAATAGAGAGTGATTAGATCCATGCAGGTCATCAACACGGTTAAGGAAGATGCATTTGAAGTAACACCTCTCCAGACTGCAGAATGTTTTTCTGAAACTCTAGCAGTGGGCTTGATCCCAGGTGCAGCACATTCACATTGCAAACCCCTCTTGACAGAAGACCTGGAAGGGATGTCTACCACAGCCTGCAGGATTCTGCCCCTCGGTTCATCGTTGTATTTGCTGGGCAATTGAAAGCTTTACGGAACTCTTCAAAGTTGCTCATAGCACCGATAACTCTGCAAAGAGAAAAGTGATCAACATGCAGGTTGTCTTCTGTTAAACACTACAAGCCTGTAAGTGCTTCAGTGTGTTCACTTCAGGTTGAATTTTCAGGCTTTCCATGTCATTTTTCCACAAATAAAACCAAAAAGGTTCAGGAGAAGCACTCCTATTTGAAGTTGATGTGAAGACAATCTTGTTTCATACAGCGCTTTGAGAAAAGCATCTTACTTTGCTAGAAAATTAATGAAAACCAATTGCATTTTGTGACTACTATGTCATTTAAAAAAATTTTCTAAACTGAGCCTTGGCAGCAAAGTTGGGGGATCAGTGGTAACCTTGCACAGTGGAATCCTTCTTCCAGCACCTGCCAAACTGCTGTGATCCAGCAGGCAGAAACATGTGAACACACACTATGGTTGTGCTGGAAGTAGTTTGATTTGGCTCTTGACAGCCAGATTTTTGTAACAGCCCCCCCTGCCCAACCAGGTACACCCACACAAACTCTGGCTCCCTGGGACTTTGTAGCCTGATGCTGGGGGACAGGCAGAGCCTCTTATCGGCCAGCTCAGCCTTACACCTCTGAGCATCTTAGCTCCTCTGATTTTTTGGAAATACATCTTCTGAGGTTTCTGCCTGCTCCCAAGCTCTATTACTTGCACCACAGATGGTGTGATACTGAAAGAGCAGCACATCCCTACCTCACACAAACTAGACATTTTGTCTGTATCCCAGACTGGCACCTTCAGGCACAAGGGAAGAGCTTGCTCTTTGTATGCAGTCATCCTTGGCTCCTGCTTTCATGTCCATATTATTTCATGCTGTCAGAAATTATTATTTTACCATTGCTGGATTGGGATTGTGTTGTTTGTTGATTTTTCCTGTGATTTAAGCATTTTCGGATTTACTAACCTGAAATTTGCAATGGTACTAAAGTAAACAGCATCCTGAGTTAAAAACAGAGAAGTATCTACTGAGATATTAATTTTATGCCTTTCCAATCTCTTTGCTATGCAATGGGAAAGCATTTTTCTCCATTGCAGACAATCAGCTTCTCAGTGTAGCTCAGCATGGTAGAAAAGATCCTTATTACACTGATTACACTTTCTGTGGGTAAGAAAATTTGCAGTCAGCTGGCACAAAAATGTCTAAAGGCCAGTTTTGTAGGGAGAATTACAAAATGAGGTTAGGCTTCAAATAATATATACAGATTTACTGTAAAAACATTGCAAATACATATTCAGGGCCTGGAACAGCAAGAGCTGGTCATGCAGAACTGCAGCTGTAGTTGGTTGGAGTTCTGCCTGCCATGCCAGGGATTTCACTCTGAAACTGACATTCAAAAATAGAAAGGACACATGCTAATAATGAAAATGTGCCAATTAAAAATAAATAAAACCAGAATCCAGACAGTGAAAGATCTTTATGTGTCCATGCACATGGCTTTTCTACCCAAGGTTTGATATTGCCACACATTAACTGGAATCAAATTACAGAGCACTGGAACAGGCTGCCCAGGGAGGTTGTGGAGTCTCCTTCTCTGGAGACATTCAAGACCCGCCTGGACGCCTTCCTGTGTAAAATTGTTTAGGTTCCTGCTCCAGCAGGGGGATTGGACTAGATGATCTTTCGAGGTCCCTTCCAATCCCCAACATTCTGTGATTCTGTGATTCAAATTGGGCTGTCTGGATTTCATCCCATCGAACTACAGTAGAGACATCTATCTTCCCCTGAACAGGTCTCCCTGGACTCCCTTGGCAGTCAATAGAAAGATGTACTTGCAGAGTCTAAGTTATCCAAATTTATTACTTACAGAAGGATGATATAGATATAGATACATACATACACTTTCAAAATGCCCATTCTTTTTTGACTGTGAAGAGAGCCTGGACTGACTAGCCCACATGCACACACCTATGCTCAGGATACATGTTACTCATTTCTATCATCCTTTATAATTACTTTTTATAACTACTTTAAAAAGGGCTGCTTGGGCTTTTTGGATAGCAAGAGCTGTCAATGTTGAAAATAGCTGTACTGCTGTTGTAGTGGTCTTGGGACATAAATGAAGCAAAGTTGGGGGAAACAGATAATATAATTTGTTAACCCATTTGATATGATTTGCAAAAAGACACAAGCACTGCAGTTTCTCTTGAGGTCTGAAACAGAAGCCTGTTCTGAGTATCTCACATAAAAATCAAGAAAAAGTTTTGTCTGTATTTTCTAGATCCCAAATTCATCTAATCTTCTCTGGAATTTTCCTTCTTAGCCTGATTCCTTCATGAGTTTTCCTCATGAATGCTCTGTCCCCAGGCTTCCCTGTATATTTTGTGATTTGAACCAGCTAATGGGAATATAGTTATGTAATGATTCAGAATATAGAAATACACACATACGTAAATAAATCTGAGAATTTTAAATGGTAACAGATGGTTATTTTACCAAAATCTTAACAAGGGTAGGAATTATTAAAAAAAAAAAAAAAAAAAAATCACTCTGTAGGGAGAAGATCAGCCTAATTCTCCTGCTCCCACTGTCATGATATATTTTCAATTGTTAAAAGGCATGCAGATTTGCATACTGCACTAGTTTTACCCTAGATAGCTGGTGTAACAGGTATTGCAATGGTACAGTAGTGCAGGTTTCAATGCAGAGTATAGAAGTCTACCAAGACCAAGCATACACATCTGCAATGCTAGCTTATATGAAATTTGTGTCATCATGTTTCCACTTCCATTATTTCTTAATCCATTCTGGTTACAAGTAGCCCAAGGTGTGTTATACATGCCACATTTATATCTACAAGCTTTGGTGTGGCTGTGTTGAAGGAATATGTCAGAGTACCTATGAAGCAACCTCACAACTCCCCTGTGAAGACAGTGTTGCTATTTTGACTTTACCAAGAGATAAATGAGGCAAAGGGTGCTCATCACCTAAATTTAGCTGTGGAGAAGGTGGGATCCCAGCTCCCTCTTTAGTCAACAGAAAGAGGTAGGAATATCCAGAAGACAAGTAATCCTGTGTATTGGAGATACTTCCATTATGAATCAGGTTGTGGAGTTAACATCCTTTTCCCAAATACAACCTAATATAGCACTTGACTAAGGACAAACATACAATTCTTAGTTAAGTAAATACAACTGACATGAATCCCAACAGAAAAAAAACTTGCTCTTGGTCACACAAACTCTGTGGAGAAGAAGAGAAATAAACTTTGGCTTCCTATTTCTTATGAAGTCTTTAAACCTTCCTCCTTTTCTAGCTTTTCCTTCTTGAGGTTCAGGGGTGTCTGTGGTTAGGAGAGCCTGTAGGAGGCCTTTTGGGCAAGGATACACTGTTACAGCTGGACTACCACAGCTCCCTCAAGCAAAGTGTCTCTTGGAGGGCAATGAGGAGTTGAATCTTGAACTGAACTTACAGGGCATGTTTTGCTTTGCATTATCAATGCAATTGGAAGTACTCACTTTAAGCTTTTAATGAACTCAGGTAGATTAAATCAAGGACCCTCCTAATATTAGTTGTTTTCTAAAGTAGAATTGCACAGAAAAAAGTGATAGATTAGACATTTTAGATACTCAAGTTATGGTTATAGAACATGACAGGGATCAGAGTGTGTTCTGGTTCAACTGCTTTTGAAGGTAGATACAAGAAGAGCCTTTTTACAGAAGAGCCTTTGTAATAGTATAAGATAAGCTAATAAAAACAGTTCAATTTCAATCTAAGCCAAGAGTACAGTTCAATTTTGTGTTTGTTCTTAAACCCCTCTTAACATGCTAAATTTCTGCACTTGTGTGCTGCAATAATTTTTATTCTGTGTGTATATTGAGTAAATACATTTGCACTACCGGAACTGAGGAGGGCTGTGAGCTCCAACGTGTATTTGCTCTCTCGCAGATTCTGGTCTAAAGGAATTGCATCTTACCTAATAAAAGATAAAAAGCAGAAATAGGCATGTTATGTGGGATGACTTTGGAAGTAGAATCTAATTTCACTGTTCTTAAGATGCCTATGACTTACAGAATGCACAAAATGGAAAGACACCACAAACTGCTATTTTGTGTCAACTTTACTAAAATGTAGTTTTCTGTTGGTATATTCCCTTGTTTTTCAAATCCCTTAATGGATCCAGTCTCCACCCACTGTTATTCTCCACTCACTCATTCCCATCATCTAATCATAGTCACTTTGCTAGTTCTTATTTGAGGTTCTCTATAATGGTAGGCGGCTTTTCAGCTTGTGCTGCAGCATCTGACACCTCAATAATTACCAAGCACACTTCTTTGGTCTTAAAGCTATGTAATGTGTATAAAAGGTACACATAGTGATGCTTATTATCCCTAGAATTGCAGCGATATTACCTGACACATTTGTTCCATGTTGGAAAGTCAGTTTCTTTTGAAATGACACATTTTTTCAGGTTTCTATCATTAGTCCCCAATTCACTATTCGTAATGTAATACTTGACCTAAGTGTAACTAACCACAAAACAGGCTAGGGAGAATACTTTCACAACTGAATAATCTCTCTTATGCTGTATCCATTGCATTAAAAAATCTAATTTAAGCAGACCCTGTCTTACCTAAGCCTCCATGTTGAATGTTTCCTATTGACAAAATCCTTTAAGCTAGACTGCCCATAGGGTATGTGGACTTCAGTGCAATTTTGTGTGGCTGAAGACAAACAGCCCTGGCAGTTTGAATGAGTGTGAATGTCTTGAGCTCTGTGGAAACAGGCTGAGCTCAAGGGTACCTGGCATATACTACTCTAACTGCTCATTAACGAATTGTGGTGGTACATTTGCAACAGGAGTCTGTGGTGGAAGCAGTCAGAAACTGCTGCATGTGGCAAGCACCAGAAAACTGGGAATCCAAAATGGAAAGAGGTTAAGGAGTGAATACGTGGAAGAAGACCTTTGCAGCGGAGGGAAGCAGTAAGTGGAAAGAAAGCTTCTGTGACAACACTGTGCAAAACCAAGAATAATTTCGGCAGTTCTAGCACCATGGATAGATAGATGAGGATGAAGAGAGAAAGAAAATAAATAATAGTCCTGGGAGAGTAAATCTCTACTTATACCCTGAAAAGTCTGGGTTTGGCTGGTGTAGATTGTTGAAACAAAGCAGTCTTATCTCTGTGCTGTATACTGTGCAGGTTAACAGATGGGGACTCAAAACACATTTGTACTACTCACATGGGCATAACTCAGAAAGAAAAGCTGGTTGTGTGTGAACTCAAGGCCTGGCAGCAATGGCTCTTCTTCTCCTCCCCTCTTTTCTGCAATCCATCTCCTGTATGCCTGATAAGAAAGAGTTACTGAGTGCCTTTCAGCCACTTGGAGCCTAACTATGACTTTTTTTTTTTAAATAATACTATGTTTCAGATATTTTCTTTATCTACTTACCCTGAAAGCCTCTCGCAAACCTCCGTTATCTGCAATGTTTTCTGCCAAAGTCCTCTTGCCTTTCACCTAGCAGAATGAAAGAACATCAGTCATTTGACCTGTTTCTGAACTTCCTTCTTGATCAACTTCAAGAAACTGGGGAAAAAATAAAACAAGGCGAGAACGATCTCAGCCAATTTCAACTATCATATCTCTTGTTAAGAAAACTGGGTTCCAATGTGAAAACTGTCAGTAAACAATTCTCCATGATGAGTTATCCTGGCTCTGGTCCTAGATCTCTATAGCACAAAATGTAATAGATAAAATGCACTCAAGAATCCAATCCCTGATCTTTGATCTGAGCATCAATAATTTTCCCCTGAAGGCTGTTTTTCTCTGGTTACATGTGAGATCCAATAGCCCCTTTCTTAAACTTTTAGCTGAAAGGTTATAATTGTTTCTCTACATAAATCTTTATATACTACTGGAACACTAAAATAACTTTTAAGTCATAATCTAAAACAGTGTAATTAAAAATAACTGTCAGAGACAGAATTGAAATTGATAGTACATTCAGTGCTCTAAAAATAACTGCAAAGGAGATGCATGTTGCTTTTCCCCAGTATTGATTCCAAGAACAAGAGCAACAGCAAGAAGAACATATTGCAAGAAGCAGCGCTATCTAAACTTTCTGAAAAAGCCAGTCTCCTGGTATTATCAAGTGTATAATGATCTATTATGAAGAAATCCTCCTTTCTGCAAGTGCAGCATTATCTCTGATCATCCAGCCTCCTGGGGTCTTAGTGTTACCAACCTGTATTTGTAATTAAGCAGTTTTACTCTTTACTATGCCTCCAATGAGCAAAGTAATTGAGCACAGTTTTGAGCAGAGCTCTGAAGGTCAATGCTATCCTGCAAATCCTCTGATGACAGGCTCTCCCATGCCGCAGGGATGATTATAGGGGGGCTGGGGTCTGGACTCACCTCAGTTTCAGGATGGCAAAAGAGGGGAAAATGGGGTAAAATAGGTAAAAGGATGTAGGGGATACCTAGGTACATGCGCCCAACTCCACTACTCAGTGCAGTTGAGCACCCAGATTGGACTCAAGGCATCTTGCTTGGTGTCTTGGGTCCAGTATTACTCCCAAGGGTGTAACGAAGGCAAAATGGGAGCAGCGGAGGAAAGTGCACCCTGTTCCTGCCAGCCCTCCCTACCCTCAGGAAGTACGAGAGAGTTTTTTAGAAGAAAAGGTGCTGGGACACCAGGGAACATGCACACACATCAGCTAATGTTTTTTTCTCGCCTACCTACTCATATATTTTTCTTGCAGTGGGCTTGAGAAGTAGACTGATTTAGAGCATAAGATGAGAGCAACCTAGCAGTGGCACTCAGGCAAAGGGGCATTTTAATAAGTGGAAGAAGTCTTTCCACCAATCTCAGGCAGCTCTGGGTCATGTATCTGAGACTACTCTGTGCAGACAGTTTGTGACAGGGCTCAGGGACCATGATAAACTCTTTATTTAATCAGATTACTTTACATGATTACTGTACTCTGAAGCTATTTCTATATCCACTTTTTCTTTCATTACACTTCTTTTCTGGAGACACTTTTATTGTAAACTGGATGAGAAGTAAGAAGAGTAAATACGTTTCTTGATCCAGGCAAAATATTCATACAGAGTTAAAAAACTGGCAGAATGTACAATATTGATGCAAATGACAGGCAAAAAATAAGCTCTGCATATATAGCTCTTCATACAGAAGCTATAAAATACAGCAGAAAATATTAAGATTCTTCCTCTATCCTCTAAAAAGTGCTTTAGGTTATCCCGCAGAAATAAGAGGAAAAAACCTTACAGATGACAAGGCTGTGGGTAACAGGATCTCTCTAGTAAGCTCATCCGCCAGCTTCAAAGGCACTGGAGCGGAAAATTGAGATCTACTGCATCTCAAAAGACACCATAGAAGGTAAAGTGGATGGCTGAACCAATGGCAGGAACATAGGAAGGGCTCAGTCACATCCTTGGAGAAGGTTTTAATGACCTTCTTTATGGGCCATTTTTGTATTGCCTACAGATATGAAGGAATGATCCTGAGAATTTTTATTTAGAAATTAGCTTACATGAAGTACTTCAAGTCTGAGTTGTTGGAATTCAGACCAGACTGCAATATGGCCTTGTTATCCCTGAGACTAATAAAAACAGCTCAGGGGAAGTGTTAGAATTATTGCCAAACGTTCCATGCAAGCTTTCTATTTTTAAAAGACAAAGACGTAACTGCATTTCTGATTCTAAAATGTAAGTAGATGTGGTAGAATTGACTAGAGGGTGGGGTATGTGTTTTATCCTGAAAATTAAGATTAAAATCATGTCCCAGCCAACATTACTGGAATTTTAGCTATCGATTTCTGAAGGTCTGGGATTTATCCTATTTATCCTTCATTTTGGACACTTAGATAATGTGCACACTTTCAAGGAAGCCCATAGCCCTGATAGACAATGAAACAGAAACCATTCCCTTGCACTTGCTTTCTCAATCCTTTTCTATGAGTTACTGCTATCATACTCCTTTCATTTGAGATACAAATTGGGTCTGTGTGCACTTGTGGAAGAGATAGCAAGAGTTGAATGTGAAATAAAGTAGGGTGTATACTCCCATTTTATAGCTGTAATAAATAACAGGTGGAATTTCTAAAGGAATCTATAAAACAGTGGCTGCTCAGTTTTCATTACAGACCTCATCTTCAGAAGACACTTAACATGCTCACAGTAATTAGATCAGCCCTGATGAGTGGCTTCATCTTCTTCCTCTGATTCCAATATGATGTGATGGGGAAAAGCGGTTTAACCCTGCCACCAGGGTGTGGGTAGTGGCATTTGACTGGACTAATCAAATCTGACAGACAATTTTTATCACAATTATACACTTCAAAATAATTATTTCTATGAGAAATGAAGTTGGTAGTCTAATATCCCAATAAGTTGGGATTTATAAAAAGATAACTTTAAAAAAAACCAGCCCCAAACTCCTAATGTACCACTGCTTTCAATCACTGGTGTTTTACATACATGTAAGCCAGCTCTCTTCCAGTAGTAGTTGTTGTATTGATTAATCATGCATTTTGTTTTCTCTTTAAATTTTTCTTCAGAGTCAGTTGTCCACCAAGGGTCTAAATTTCCATCTTTGTCATATTTCCGACCTTAAAAAAGAAAGAAACAAAGAAAGAAAGAGAAAGAAAGAAAGAGAAAGAAAGAAAGAGAAAGAAAGAAAGAGAAAGAAAGAAAGAGAAAGAAAGAAAACAAATGTTTTTGGAGGAGAAAAACCCATACTTTTCCAGTTTTGGAATGTATAACCTGCACACAAACGAGAGGTGAATATACTCGTGTGTACAAACATGGCGTGTCTCGTGTCTACATTACTGCAACAAAAGACTGTATAAGACTTGACTGATGGACTTTTAGGAATTTTGGGTCATTGCACTGAAGACTAACTCCAGGCCCTCCACATCACATTGCAGGATGGAAAAAAAATCAGCCCACATTCATGTGCTGTAATATCCTCTGTAGCAGCATCTCTTCACCAAGCTATGCTCAAGTGAAGGTCAGATTCAGAAGCCAGGTTTATCAAATCAAACTATCCATGTAAACACATGATTATACTTGCTACACCATAACCTGTATGATATGGAAGTGCTAGGGCAGATGGGAGTTCTTGAAGAAACATTTCTCCACTCAGGAGTGTTTGTTCATGTAAAATGTTGTGGAGCAGTGCCAACAGGATACAAGGATTTAACTTTATTTTTTAACACATATTCAAAGTAATGCAACATCAGCAACCTAACTTTAGCTAGGCAGTGAGCTAGAAGCCTGCTTTTCCTTAAACTCCTTATGTTTTCAATGGAGAGAGGCTACTCTAGACAGCAGTCAGAGAGGGATGTCAGTCAGACACTGAGAATTGCTCTGTGGAGGATGAGGTCCATGTCTCTCTCTCTCCCTTCAACCCTCTCGTTCAGGAACTCCATTTTTAAAAAGCACTTTGCTGAGATAGCCAAAGTTAGATGGTGGTATTGCCCTACTCCACACCATTTTTCAGGACAGTTAGTTTGACATTTTCAGATAATTTCTTCTTTTCCTTCTAAAAAAAAAAAAGAAATAATTTTGCAATATGTTTTTCAGTTCCACTTTTGTTCCAGTATCGTATTTTAATCTTTGCATGTAAATGTCTTCTGAAAAATGTCGAAACTGAAATTAAAAATTTAAGTTTTTTTGGAAGTAATTTTTATCAATCAGAAGTTATCCCTTTTTCCTTCCCACTCCCCCCAGCCAGGATTTTCTGAATTTTTCTGTTGATTTAGTTTCCATTCAAAACAAACAGAAAGTGTCAAACTTGTGGTATTCCTAACCAAACAAAATCTGGTTCAGACAAGCAAGATTGTATGCAAATAAATAAAAAAAATACAACTTTATAATTTTCTTCACATTCAGCATTGTTAAAAATACCCAAAACAATAAAAAAGCCAAAGCATATACAAGTCATCTTTCTAATCTGTCAGCTGTGTGGAAAAAAAAAGTTATCAACATATGGACAAATACTTACCATTGCTATCAAATCCATGAGTAAACTCATGGCCAACGATTACTCCTATGGCACCATAGCTTAATGACCTATAACACAAAGAAGCACTTTCCTCAGAAATTGTCCACACTCATGAGCATCAAAGAACAGAATACCTCAGGAAAGATCATTTTTTATTTAAACTCGGGGCAGGGGCAGGAATGTGACTAAAAATCATACCTGCACAATTTTGACTTAAAGTTGTTGAAAGTCTGAATGTTATACTCTTATTGTTTAAAAGCAAACTTTAAGATAAAACTTTATAAACCATTGTGATGGTTCACTCTTCTAACCAAATCCCTTATTAGCATTGTATGAGCTCTAAAACATCTCCTTCAGCTGACTGCATTGTGCATATCCCAACTGAGAACAGGACAAAGTTATAGGTTAAATTATTCTCTTGGTGTCACCATGAAAAAAGAAGAGATCAAAGACTGAAATGGCTTCCCTAATGCCAGCTCCAGTCATTCTTCTGTGGCATGCAACAGACTTGCACATGATGAATTCTAGTTTGTAAAACATTAAACAGCTCTCCCTTTCATTTTAAAAAGGGAGGTCATACGATTTCCTTGCACCTGCACAGGAATAGGACATGATCTACAGTCAGATCTAATGCACTGGAGAAATGCAAAAGAAAGAAATATTTTGTATTCCTGATTGATAATTAATTGTAATTACCTCATTATATGCAAATAAACATGCACTTGGGAGAAAGAGGGATGAAAGACAGAAAGGTTCAGGGCTTTTTTGTATCAAATGCAGTGGACATTGGAGGGGCAAAGTGATCTACTAGATGTATCTTTCATCTGTTCAGTTGTTCTTTGTGAGTTTAATTATTTCCGTTATTGAGATACCACACTTCAAAGTAGCTTATAGTATTTCTAACACATTGTGTTGAAATAGGAGAAAGGCAGAGTTTTAAAGTAACATGTTATTACTGGACCTAATGATCCATAGCACATTAATTGTTCATCTCAGTCATGCCCAAAAAGTATTATATGATTTAATTCACCCTGCTCCCATGACAATTCTTCAGTTTATTCTTTTCTTTCCTGAAAGGTAATTTGCATGTGATAAAACCTTCCATACTGTTTTGGGTTTTTTCCCCCCCCCAAGTACTACTGCAAACCTTCACTAAAAAATGCTGGCTAAAATTATACATTTCAGAAATGGTAATATCATCCTTTTGTACAACAAATTTGTAATCTTGTGTAGCACAAAATAGTAATTAAACATACTAAATGTATGTTAGACTTGTTTCCCACATCTGAAGTAAAATGGTTATACAGGATCTTTTGCAGGTGGAGAAGCGCAAAAAGAATGGCACAAAATATGCAAAGAAGTCATGTAATCCCTGTTACTAAACACATTTTATTTTTCCCCTTAAGATTTTTGGTGACCACGGGTGGTAAGATCAAAGAACAGGCTGGTGCCCAGGCATTCCTAGGGTTTCCCCCAGCTCCAAAAGATAGGGTGAAGTTTGGGGTGAATTTTGGCCTTTGCTTTTGTGAATCCTCTTCAGCATTTTGTCCAGCTCAACAGCATTTTTGGCAGAAATGCTCCCAGCTCTGCTTATGCTATTCACTTCTGGGGCACAGCTGGACAGAGATGGAGGAGATTAGGTACAGCCCAGGAGGTACCATATTGGAGGGCAACTTTCTGAGACCAGGGAGGCTCAAAGGACTATAAGAAAGCTACCGACTCAGGTAGTTTGAAGTCTTTATTTCAATATATCTGGCATTTAAGACTTGTAAGTATGAAAGATGGTATTTGAATGGTATTCTATTTCATGTGCTGAGATGTTAAGTGATAACTTAGATTCCCTTGATGCAAACAGATGCAGCTGGTTTATAGTTGTGCTAGAACCGGACACTAAAACTCCACTAAACATTAAATATCTGCTAAATCAGTTTTTCAGCAAGTGCTGATGACTTTTTGATGATTTTTCTGTTACAGTGCCATGTACTGTTTCTTTTAAGCAGACAGAAAGCAGATCCAGAATATTTCAAGGACAAAAGCAATCTGTTGTCTGATATAAAAGAGCTACATTTGTTTACTAAATTTCATTTTGATACGTATTCAAGCAAAACCAATTTAAGCTAAGGTAACCTTTAAAGAAGATAAATGAGCAAAGTATAATTCTTTGAAAGAACCACAACTTTATCGCTACAGCAGAAGGTCAGGGTACAGAGGAATCTCTTCAGAAAGCAAAGCTGGAAAGAGGCCTGCAATAACCACAGCAGAAAATCAGTTCACCTTAACAAGAAAGGACTTTCTTCTATCCCCAATTACCACTTAGAAAGTCACTTGGCTCGTAAGAATTTTCTTTGAATGCCAATTCCTCTGTTTCTAAATTGAATGTGTCTCTCTACATATACTGCCAAATTTCCTGTTTACAAGGACACATCCAGATTGGAAGATGGCAAACCCAAGATGTTTTAAAAGTTTGATTTTTTTTTTTTTAAACAAAGATTTACTAAGGATATGTTTCACTAGTAACCAGCTTTATGGAATTGCAAAATAACTTTCAGAAATTGCTGTCAGAAACTTTTCATGGTCTTACCCTGCCCTAAAATAGAAGTTATTGAACAGCACAAAAGTAGTGATTTTTCAAAATTAAATATATGTGACCTATAATTAGTCTTACTCAACCACAGTAGCACATAGGCCTGCTCAGGTGATCACTTACGCACATGGAGATATTAACATGCATCTCAGCAGGCACAAGAAAAGGCCCACTGTTAATCTTCAATATTAGCAGAAAGTGAACAATAAACTGATAATAAATGGCTTCTCAGGGTATTCACTTCTGTTCAGGAAGTGTTAGTTACCTGATTTACAACTCCTTTTAATACCTGCCATGTGCACAGTGCTGCATCTGCATGCTATATCATTGAAACACTTCCACTCAGGTGCACTTAAGTAGCAATTCCTGTGAGAAATCAGTCATTGGTTTAAGACAACAGCAGCACCTACAGCTCCCAAGGGTAAGAAAAGTTATTGCACAAAGCAGCAGTTTTCAAAGTCTAGTTTTTCAGTACCAAAATCAGGATGCAGCAGGGAAGAACACACAATTCAAGGGT